CTGTTTTATTTTACTCTCTAAAGTATGAAAAATTGGAAGATACGTTTCTTCACCAAATTTCAGTAGGAATCATTCCTTCAAGTTATTTTGTCTGTTTGCCTGTTTCCTTATGTTTTTCCTCTAATTTCATTCGACGTGTATTCTTCTGAATGTGCACTCTGACCTTTTTACATACCTTAGCTTGAATATGTTAGACAGGCTCTTCTAAGACTGTGAAAAGCAATCTCTGTGGAGAGGAAGCTTTCTTCTTAGCGTAGATGATCAAACAAAATGGAGACACCGTGCTTTCCTAAGTAAAGAAAGAACTGGGGGAATGTGTAAGTATGGCAGGTATTCCATTTTTTTCCTTACTTTTACTGGGGGCTCTTACATCTCTTATCACAATCCATACATTCATCCAGTGTGTCAGCACATTTGCACATATGCCGCCATCATCATTTTCAAAGCATTCTCTTCCCATTTGAGCCCCTGATATCCACTCCCCATGTCTTCCCCCTCCTCCTCCGCCCCCCCTCCCTCACGAACACTTGATAAGTTATAGATTATTATTTCCATATCTTACATCGTCATTCAGTTTTAATGGGATTTTATTCTTTGTTTTTCTTCACCTTTGTGTCTGTTTCCTGGTGGAGTCCATACCTGCCTGTCATTTCTGAGCAAGCTCAGGACCCTCCTCCGAGTTCATGGCCGCTTTCCAAGCCCACCTTCTTCTGGCTCTCCTCAGAATGAGGTCTGACTGACTGAGGCAGGCCTCCGTTACCGCTGTTAAGAAGGGGGTGGGGGGTGGGGTCTGTCTCTCTGCTCAAGTAGTTAAAATCTTTCTGTCATGTTACTAGGGGACCATAGAACCCGAGTTTTGTTTCTTGGGCTCTCTGTACGTGCCTGTGCGTCTGCAAGGGAAGGTGTTGAGATCCGAAAGAACAGAGGAGGAACTTCTTTCCTCAGTGATTTTTCATTGTGTCATCTTCCTGTTTTTTGAGTCTAAGAAATCCTATTCTTAGGATGAATTTTGGAATTTCAGTTACTTTTCTTCCTGCCTGCGTGACTCCTACTCATCCTTCCGGGCTTATCTGTAATCTCAGCCCCGGAAAGAGGGGATGCGGTTTCGTAGCACTTGACCTCTCACTGAGGAAACGTAGAGTCACATGCCCCCAGGTATTATTGTGTGTCCTGTGACAGAGCTCTTCTTGAGTAGCACTCTCTCGCTGCTTTCCGCAGTTGGAGAAGGCAGAGTGGCCCCAGAGCAAGTGGGCAACAAACTGGTTGGAGGCCTTCCCTGACACTTTCTGGTGTATCCTCAGGTGTAGGGGAGCCAGCCGCTAACAAATCACAGGCCCGGAGGGCGCAATTGCACAGCGATAATATGTACAGATTACAGCAAAGTCATAGAGAATAAGAGAGAGAGAAGAGAGAGTGCAATAAAGGAGTCAGACACATTTCATGGTAGCATGCTCACCTCCGCCCCGCTTGGTGGTCCACGTGAGGATGTGGAAGGTGGGAATTGCAGGAGCGAAAAAGGGAGGAGAAGGAGGCCAGGGGGACAGGGAGTAGGGGAGAGACTGACCAGGGGAGAGGGGACTGGGGGAGAGAGGGCATCTTTATTGTTTGGGGGCTTTTATAGGTAGCCATTAGTCATGCATATTCAGGAGTTACATATGTCACAGGTGGGTGGGAGTCACAGTGAAGTTCCTGAGCTCCCAGGTGAGGAAACCTACCTGGATTGGAGGAAGACATGAGAGGGGAGGGGTCTTTGGTGGGAGGAGATAGTCAAAGAATATCTGCTTCTACAGGGAGACAGAATCACCCAGTGCTCACTTTAAGGCAGCATCGCTGTTGGGGGAGAATCTGCGGGAATGACAGTTGTGCGTTTCCCGTGCTCAGGCATCTTAATCATGCCATGACTTGACAAGTCGTCCTAAAGAATGCATGAACTGTTCCAAGTTACTTGCTTCAGTGTATGGCTAATAAGTGAGTTGGAGTCGACTCATTGGCGGTAGTTGTGGCTTGTAGTCGATAGATTCGTTATTCTTCTTCTGCTTCGTGCAGCACCTGTGCTTGGGCTAGCACACAACACTCCAAACCCTTTCCCATCAAGCTGGTTCTGCCCCACAGTGACTGTATGCTAGGGGAAAACGGTGCCTTCTCGTTGCCTAATGAATATGGTGGCAGCAGAGAGCTTCATCCCCAGCCCTGCAGGAGTTGATGCCTTTGAACCACCCACGGTGTGGTTGGCTGCCCCATGCTTAGCCCACTACATCACCAGGGCTTTTTGGCACATTAAAGATAAGCACTAGGTACTTTCTGTTGTTATTTTCTAATGCGAGCATCATCCTTTCTTTTATTTTAAGCCCAATGTTTGCTGGACTTGAATCTCGGTATGGCAAGAGTTAAACAGATGGTTTCTGAGTTTTACCCCGAATCACCCGGAGTTTCTATCCTGGTCTCTCTCTGTGCTGGCCCCGGCTCCCTTCTCCTTTAGGCTCTAACCCTTTGGATGATAACCTTGGCCTTCATCCAAAGCGGAGCCTTCTAATTTTAGAGTCAAAACATTGGAAGAACAAACCACAGATGTGCACCGAATTACGCACAGTCTGGGGACCGAGCCATTTCTGGGAGGTTTAATAGAAAATAATCGTTTAGCCTAAAGATGCTGTTTGAAGGCCTACTGTGCTTCCTTTCCCTTTTCTTTGTCTGGTCCAAGAAAACTATTTTATTTTTCCTCCTGTCACACTGGGGCTTGGGTTAAGAATATTTTATCAACACATTTGTTTTCCACTTGTAGTCGATATGGCTTATACATCTTATAGATCATAATAGACTTGAGATGTTATTTTCAATTGCAAGCAAACTTTGGCTCTTCAGTATATAAAACAAAATATTTTTTCTTTTTTTTTTTTTTTTAAACAAAATATTTTTTCACCTTAAAATTAAATTATTTTCATCCTTACAACAACTGTATGGGGTAGATATATTTAATAGTTGAATTTAATATATGATCAATACTGTATTTATATATGTATTTAAAGAACAACTGCGTTCTAAGAGAAGTTTCTAAAACCTGTATGGTTTGCTAGTGTCTATAATTTATCAGGGCCCAAACTATGCCTGTTGAGTAATAAGCAGGTCGCTTTAGGGTTCCACAGGTCTGATTTTATTATAAGCCCCCACCTTTGGTAGCATTCTATCCTTCAAGCAGAAAAATACATCCTTTGCATATTGTGTCTGTATCTACAGAGTACAGTTAAATCAGAGAAAATATATGTATTAAAGGGATTGTTTGGCTTATTTGATCATGGTAGATGCTAGAAATAGATTTTTAAGGTATTATTTTCTATACATAAGATTTAGGATCTGAATGGTGGGCTGCTGCCAATCTATTTGCAAATGTCCATTTGTTGAGAGACCTCTAGCTTGTTGAGGGCCTTGCTTAATAAGATCGAGTGAAATTGGCCTGAACCTCCTCCTGAGTCTTTGGGAATCTTGGGATGGCGAAATGAGGGAGGGACCAAGAGGTGTTGAGACGTGAATATCTTCTCAACCTTTCCTGACTCCTGGTGACTGCATCTATGGATTACTCCATTTCTCCGTGCTCACCCCTGCTGCGTGGTATGTGTGCCCCTTGTCTGCACTGCATCGCCCCACTGGACACCATCCTGATCTATTTGTTTCCCCAACTATGAATGTATTGGCCAACTTTATTACAGCTATGGGACACAGGGAGGAAAATTACATTGTAGATAGCTCTTCACCCGACAATTAAGGAGGCTTATTCTGGAAGGTACCACGTGTCAGAACCGGAGCATGGTAAGGATGCAGTCATTGATCCACTTGCCCTCAGCGAGCAGTCCAGTCGCTCTCCTGGTCTTCTCAGCCTCTCAGCTATGTCGCCGTCCCTCAGCCTCGGCCTCCATGGGTCACTAAGCCAGCCCACTGCTCCACCTCACGGTGTCTTAGTCTCAGCTCTGCTCCTCAGTCCTCTTGCATGGTCTCCTTACATAGGCCTCTGGTGCCTGCGGTCTCTGCCTCGGCCACTTTCCAATGGGCTCCGTGATGGTTCCTGCCCCTTGATGGCCCTGGGATTCTCTCTGTTCTTAGTTATAATCTGTGTCTGAGCGTGTTTTCTAGGTAATGGTGTAGCATAGAAGGAGACGCCTAGAGCATTAGTGCCAGGGTTCCAGGTTGGATATAAGAAGAGGAGCCTACTGTCATAACTCTGGCCTCAGGGGAGAGAGAACGGAACCTTTATCAAATCACTGAGAATGAAGTATGAAAGCCCATGCAACACTTTATCCCCACCTCAGAAAAACTACGTATTTAGGTTATGAACATGCAGAAGGCATATTGATTATTTTCCACACCGTGTTAAGGAACAGCACAGTTTGTGGGGCCATGCATTTGGTTGGAGATTAGAGTCCACCCACAGGCGTTTGGGAGGAAGTGTGGGGCAATCTCCTTGCAGACAAATCCGTCCCCCAAATCACTGTGACTTGGTGCTCCTGGAGCACATATGAGGTTGACATCAGTCGGGATTGACATATGGCAACTGATTTTGGTGCTGTCTCCTTTCAATATCGGCATGAAAAGTTATACTTTAATAGAAAATGGTGCTCTGGATCAATGTTTATGTTTCCCCTTCCTGTGGCCCAAGGCTGGCTCTCCAAATCCTTGGTGGTGGTTGTCAGGGCCATGGCACTGGTTCAGACTCAGCGACCTGTGTGTAAATAATGAAATATCACGAGGTCCAGCAACGTCCTCACAACTATTATGTTTGCGTTCACTGCTGCATGTCACTGTGCCGGTCCATCTCCTTAAGGGTGCATCTGGGCCCCTAACTCCTCTAGTTCCTGAATATTCCGGAATGGCATTACTAGTGGTCTTAGTACTTAGTGGTATTAGTGCTTCATTTGCTGTGAGACTTACTAGCTAACCTATGTGTATAAGCTTATATGATAATCACTTTCTGGCTTCTATTAGTAACCATTTTCTTCTTCTCTTTATAGGTAAAGAGAAGATTAAAATATCTGAGGACGACTTGAAGAAACTCATGCTAATTAAATGGTGTATTTTGGAAACCATTCGTTTACGGGCCCCTGGCGTCATTACTAGGATGGTGGTGGAACCAATTAGAATTTTGGTGAGTTTTAGTATGCTTTAAAAATAATCAGCCTTTTAGGCCAAAGAACGTACATATTTTGCCCCACATGTTATTAGACAAGAACGTACATATTTTGCCCCACATGTTATTAGACAACAATTTCATGTAACTTTGAGCACTAAGTGACCCTGGTTACTCATAAGAATTGTGCAGCGTACTGACGTTTAATATATGGGTAAGTCAAAAAGTACCGGCCCTAGGGATCCTATGCATACAGGCACAAGTTTACTCCAAACCAGATGTGTTAACGTTATGTACTTAAATACAGACAAATTCTCTCAGTAACACATTTATTCTACTCTCCTTAAGGTCTCTTTAAAAAAAATTGAATCAAAACAATGGATTCTGAGGGGCTCCACTGGGCCTATGAAACTCAAGGAAGAGAGGTGGCTCAGAGGTGGTGGTGACTATTTTGCAAGATCCCATGTCAGGCTGAGTTGTCGAGAGAAACAAAATCCATGGCATTCATTTATGTGTAAGAAAGGACTTTATATCAAGAAGTAATTTTAGACCAAAAAGGCATCCCAACGCAGTCCAACCTAAGCCCGTCCCTGAGTCTGATGCTAGCCAGAGCCCTCTTCCCACGCCTGTGGCTGCAGGCTGATGACACAGGAAGGTGCAGCGGATGCAGGAAGACCACATACCAGTGGGTGCAAAGTGTGAACTGTGGCAGAGCCTGGGCAGCTCTGCAGGCCTACCTGCCCATACGGGGCCATACAGGCAGGCAGAGTCCCAGCGCACAGAAAGATAGAGGGGCACGGCGAGGGGGAGCTCCCCAGGTTCCTCCTGCTAAGAAGGCCGCACCACCAAGGCAGCCAGCATCAGACCACCGATTGACAGAGTGGATTCCACACCAAGAGTTTCACACATATTCGCGTTGACATAAAATCCAACTGCCACAGATCCCAGCGGGATCATCTTTGCATGTGTTCTTAGACGATGACCATCGGGGCTTATTAGGAAGAAGTTGTAAGACAGTTGAAAAGTGCATCGGCCCAGGGAAGCTGCAGCAAGGGTGTTCTTTTTCCCGTCACAACAATGTCCTCATTCTTTGAGAGTAGAAAAGGCTGCCTCATGAAAATTTGGTTGAGAACCCTTACCCAACTACCCCCAGCCCTGATCTTGCCATTTCAGACTTCTTTCTGTTCCCCAAACTAAAAAAACAAACCAACGTAAGACTATCCCAAAGGAACACCGTATGAGTCCCTCCAAGATGCCCGAACTATTCCTTTTGGCAGTGCCCATTGGAGAACAGAATTCTCCAGGAAAGGCTTAGAGAGATGGAAGCACAGTTCTCAGAAGTACATAGAGCTAGATACAAAAGCAACGCAAACAATAGCTTAAATTTTTGTTTAATTTGGTTTATATGCTTGTGTATTTTGTCTAATCTAGGCTGAAACATGATGCTTTGATAGCCATTCAGTATCAGGATTAGTAAAATCCAATTTAAATCAAGCAGTTGGATTGGATCGTCTCTGAGATAAATAGCATGTACTCCTGAGCAGCAACAGGCTAAGGAATTCTCAGGGTAAAGAAAGCTCTGAATAGAAGATACCTGAATATGTGACAGGCCTTTCAGGTAACAGACCATAGATAGGGGCCTCATCTCAACTGATCCTAGGTGTGAGCAAGTGAAGGAGGTGTTGTCTATGGACAAAGCGGAGGAAAGTCTCCACTGTGCTGTGGAAAGTATGTCTGTGTCCAGTGATCCGATCAGCCAAAAGAAAAAGCTTCTGTTTTCTTCCCAAGAGATGCCATTGGCCCTACCTTATCCAGTCAGCTTGGGCTTCTTACCCATGCTCAGAATGTCTTCTTCTGAGAATGCCCCAGCATTTATGAGTTTTACTAGTTTTTTTATTCGTTTTCACCATGTCTTCCCAGATTTGTGAGCATTGTACAGTTTCCTATATTTGCCAGTCATTTTCTAAGATGAACACAGTCTTGTCTCTTAAGAGGCCAGAACAACTCACTGCCTACCTAAAGGTGAGACTCTAAACATGAGACCTTATGCAACTTGACCTTCTTGTTAAAAAGGAAAAACATGGTGATGAGGGAGAAACAATAAAAATTGTTTAGAGTTTCAGAAACCAGAGATAATAGAATATTTTGGTACTATAATTGCAGATTTTTCTCCTTCAAGTGTGTACACTTTAAAAATACCATTGCTAATTGTTTTATCATTTTCTATATGAATAAAATGTATCTGCAACATTTTTAATCATAGCATAAGAACCCAATACGTGAATGTACTATAATTTAAAAAACCAGTTCTGGGCTTGTGACTGTGTATAAAGCTTCTAATGAGGGTTGCGGGGAGGACATGAGACAGTCAGGTGCAGTGTAGCAATGATGAAACACACAACTTTCCTCTAGTTCTTTAATGCTTCATCCCCCGCCCCCCCCCACTATCATGATCCCAATTCTACCTTACAAATC